CGCATCCCCCGCCGACCGCCTCTCGTTTTTCCTCCCTTTCTTTTTTTGTCCACGTCCTTCTTCCACGTCCGAGTTTTGCACGCGCGCGAGTAGTATCGCTCGCCTTATGCAAATCCGTGCGAACTCCGTTCTCTCTGTCTCTCCGTTCCCGCCGTTTCCTCTCATCCCCTCTCTCTTTCTCGCCGCACCTACGTTTCTTTGCTTTCGGTACCAGCGTAAACCCCGTGGCGCGACACCGCCAATTACACCCTCGTAAATCGGCCCGTCAATTTGTCACCCGCAATTCGTCCGTCTGAATTTCAACGTTCCTTATCGCGTCACCTCGACGTCCTCGCCACTTAAGCTCCCTCTCTCTCCCTCCGTCCCTCTCTCTCTCTCTCTCTTTCTCTCTCTTTTCTCATGATTTCAACTTCGGAAAACGAAGGTCTCTAGCGGCAGCGGCCGGAAAGCAGGCGTGAGCTTTAATGCATTTTTTCAATTCTCACGAGGAAACTGCTGCCAAGCGATTACGCGCAAGACGGAACATTACTTTCCGCGCGCAGCATGACGCGCTCGCGCGATGCCTCAAAATTGCATTTTCATTCGACGATTCTTATGATACCAATTTGCCATTTTCGATCGATCTTTATCGTCCCTCAAAATGCAGTCATCTCCATTCGCCCGAATATTCGGAGCCGTGAGATTCCGAGATTATAACATCCACGGACGCACGAATCGGATTTCTATCTACGAGCTGTATAACACGTACCTACACGAATTTTTCTGTCGCCCGCAAGATACTGACGAACATCTGGCGATCTGTTAATGTTAAGGCTGCCTAGACCAACATGACGGCCAAGTTTCGTGGCATGGCTTACGAGAGGCAGAACAAATAAACAAGAATTAAATCTGGACGGCTTTAGCCGCAGCGAAAAGATTCGGATATTTTATATGCGGATTCGGTGCAAGCGGATGAGACCGGGAAAGAGATATAGGGAGTATAAAGGAGCAAATAAAATCTAGAGGGGGGCGATTAACAGCGATGCATTTAGATCCACCGGGCGGTCTGCATCGAGCGAATCGTTCTCCTTTTTTCCGCAGAGAGAGATAATTTTCGGTGCCGAGTGACGTAATCGCTATTTTACATGCAGCCCGCTTGATGACGATGTTGATAAATACGGCGGCATGGTCTGCGGTATTACCGCGATATACCGAAAGTCGAACGAAGCGGCGCGGCGCGGCGGCCGTACGCGCCATTAAATTTAGCGTTCAAGGAAGGAAAGGAACGGAAGGGGGATCTGAATCATCGGACGTATGTATAGCAACAAGTTTGACACGCCACGTCAAGCCGCGCGTGGAAGTATTACGGAAACGGCCGGAAGCGTCCCTCCCGCCCTCCCCCTTTTCCTCCTCACCCCCTCCCCCCCGTAACCGAATACTTTCTGTCGCTTTCTGTTTCTCGCGTGCGCGCGCGAACGGGCGCGTGCGCACGTGCAACGATCGCTTCCGCAGTATAAGCGTGAGCTAAGTATAGACGACGCTGGCCGGCGGCATTGTTATTGCTTGCGCAGCAGCTCCCGCCACCGTGCCGCTCACGGTTTCGGGAATCTGTGTTTATGAAGGGTCCGTTGGCTCGGGCCGAGTTATGGCCTCAGGTGTATTCGGATGTATTACGACTCGGCTGAGGTCCGATCGGCAAACGCGAATGGCGTGCATCGTAAATGCGCGCGTACATATCGCCGCGCGACGCGACGGGGTGTTCAGTTGCGTTCTCGCTGCTGGCAACCGATGGTACCAATGAATGAGATCAGCCGCGGCGCGTCTCTCTCTCTCTCTCTCTTTCGGAGGAGGAGGCTGTGCGCTATCCCCTCTCGGAACGGTTCTCGTAACCTCCCCCCCACCCCTCCCGGTGAATGTAAGCATCTAGATTAAGATTTGCATAATCGTTGTCGCGCCTTCCCTCGGCCGAAGTGTTTTAATGTGATCGGGCGCTGACGCGACTCTTATGCATACATGGCGACGAGGCGCGTTACGTAACTTTATGCAACTTCACGCTGAGATTGCAATCTCGACAAGCTCGCGATGAGTCCGAATTAGCGTAATGTATAGCGAAAACTGAGAGGATCTTCTAGATCCGATGCGCGCGCGGATCAAAGTGAAATCCACAAGCACCTTCTCCCTGTGACGAGCATCTGTTTAAATATCATTTTGGCCGCCCTATCTTATCAAGACACGGCAAACGCGACAGAAGGATGAATACATGTCAATGGCGTGGCAGTGTCAAAGGCAGCTGTTCATATATACGCTTGTCAGTATCACGATAGCAAAATTCGTGCTTCTAAGCGAGCTTTCAGTCTCATGTCAATTTTTGTCAATTATATTTCTTGAAATTAATATAAATAAAGAAATAGATATAAGAGAGAGATGTAATAAATGAACAAATGAAACAGATACAAAAATAAAAGCATAGCTTAAACTTTCATCATACTGCTCCATTTATATCAAATATGTACATGTCTGGTCTTTATTCTTATTTTTATCGTGTTTATTACATTTAAATTGAATTGTGTCTTGCCTTCACCTCTCTTTAAACGTTTATTGCACTCTCACTGAGATAAAAACATATATATCGGTATTTGGAATATGTAAATGTGTGCGAGTGTCCGCGGTGTAGCGAACTCAGTTCGTGGATTCATGAGTTAAACCTAAAAGACTGCGGGATCAATCATCTTTGCGAGAATCACAAATATACATCGGTTTTGCGACATCGTTGTGTTTAAAAGAAATGCGATTAAGGACCAATTTTATCATCTTCGATTAACTGAACCTGTCGATTATTCCTTTGAATTTGTACAATCGTATTTGTCGTTAAGCAGACCCTGATCAGAATTGATCAATCACGGTTGACATTTAATCGATCAATTAAATTAATTAAGTTAATTGAAGATGAAATTGGCCAAGTATCACAAAATTACGGAAGTCTACTTTTCCGTCTCGCTGTTTTTAACTAATTTTAATTGAAAGATACGTTATCGAAATGCACGCCGTGTGGCACTGCAAAAATCCTAACTGTCGGTCAGAGTTCCAAGTTAACGCGACAAAAAAAAAAGCGATATATATTTCTGTCGTCGGATTGTGGACTAAACCGCGCAATTTCGGACGGAGCGGTTTCGCCGCGACGCATATATCACGGGAATCGGACGTGCAGATTTTTTTCAGATATATCTCGCGGGCGGGCCAACACGCGGAAACCGCGTGTGCATGCAAAAGAAGAAAACAAAAAAAAACAAACCCCGCGCGTCGGCGTACGCGCCCGCGTACGTGCGTCTGCCTCTTCATAAAGTCATAACTCAACCGTAACCCTCCCCACCCGTACGTACATCCCTCGGCATAACATTTAAAACGATTTCCGCTGGCAGCCGTGCCAAGACCCGTAGCAGCGTTGTTTCGGGGATAGATTAACGAAACATAACGCCAGTACTCGCTACGGACTTCCAAGGGGTAGCTCAGATAATGGGAAGGGGCGTGTTGGCACCGCTCTGGCAGTTAAGCAGCATTCAGTGCCGGCGATGCCTTCCGCGGCTTCGGCCTTCCGGGGGCCGCGATCGATGGAAAATTTCGGGAGTTTCGGCAACCCTCAGGCCTTCGAGAGGGAGAGAGAGAGAGGGGGGGAGGAGAGGCCTTTCGAGACCTCACCGCTCAACACGAAGGGGGATTTAACTGTGTAAAAAGTGTATATCTAATGATGTAATCGCAATACGCGAGGAAAGCGGGGCGTCGCGATATAAGTATATATAAGTACGGAAAGCCCGAAGTATCACGTGCTACGGACGCGATAAATGTCCGGTGAAAATATCTCGAGCGTCCCGAAGATATCGTAACTTTCTAACATTGTGTGAGGGAGTTGCTACGTCGAGTTAGCAACTCAGACGGCGGGGATAACGGCGTATGTCCAGCGCGTTATTTACGACATTACTCGCCATAAATATGGAGGGGAAAGAGAGAGGGAGAGAGAGAAAGAGCCATATCCACGCCACGTGTTCGGACCCTACGATTATGACGCACCGTTTCTTTCACCCTTCTTTGTGCGAATATGCGAGGAGATGTGCTTCCTCTGTGATTCCTCCCTCGCCTCTCCCCCTCGTAGAAAAGAAATGCGAAATTTCTGCGCTCTACCGGGAAAGGGGTATAAGAATGCGCTTATCCGGTCCTGGCATTTGCAGGGAATCCCGCACAGAAAGTCTGATGATACATCGCGGGCTCGCCGCGTCAGTTGCCATCCCCCGCGATCGCGCTCGCCTTCCCTTTCGACTCTCCACCTCCCTTAAACGGACTCTCGGCGTTAAGAGATTAACTCGTCACGCGTCGAGGCCATTTTGATATTCCAAAATCGCGAACGGCGAATCGCCGGAAATTAGTCCGGAGAAACGGCATATTCAGTGATAAGTATCCGTTACTGTCGTGCGCGCGAAAGCATCCCGATTAAAAATTACCGTCGTCCGTCGCCGCGTACGCTCAATGGCCGTTCCATTGAGGTATGGACGGGAAATCGGAGACTAAATAAATCGATATTTCGAAGTCTCGCCCACAAACTTGGAGCCGCTCCAACGCAACGGTCTCGCTGCAAAACGAATGCAGCGTCGGCGTCTCTCGACAGCTAATTCACGCGTATCGGGATATCCGTAATGCCGAGCAATTTTGGGTTACGATACCGCGCGTACATATTCGAAACGTCGCCGCATACGCTACTCGTCGATGGAACTTTGCAATTAAGAAAAATATATCGCTTCTTCAGGGAGCGAAAGAGGGAAAGGGAGAACTCGGTGTTACACGTCTCCGACTCGGTGCAGGTGGGCGCACGCTCGCGGCGCGGCGCACTAACGAGAGTGCGCTTATTAAGCGGGACCGAGATAAGATTTCCGCTGTGGAGTGGGCGCGACACGGAATGAGGTGGCATTAATGGAGTATAATTGGTTGAAAAGTAGGTAAACCGCTTGCAGTAAAACGTTGTAAACACTCACCCCTGGTAAAGTCCGCTTCTCATGCAGAGCGTTCTGGGCGCTGATTGCGCTGTCACGGCTGTAGTAGGTGAGGAATGCACAGCCTGGAAAACAAAGAAAAACAAAAATTCTTATCTCTCACGAAGATTAACCCCATGCGGATTGTTTTTTTTTTTACCGCGTGCGTTACGACGTGGCATCCGCTCTTTATGTACCCTCCCCTTTATCGTAAAGACCTCATCGTGAGAGCCGGCGACACGCAGACACGCAAGAGAAATTCGGGCGGGGTAATCACTTAGAGGAATATTACGATGTGCTTTGCGAGGCGAGGTTTATATCGGCCGGTCGCGCGACGTAAAACGAAAAGCTTTTTGTGGGTAGCTGGTAGTTGGAGATCGAAATAAAAGTTTTACACCGCTCCCTCGGCATCAACTGGGACAGTGCGCGCCGAAGTCTTAAGGTCGAGCATGGATAACGTGATCTCCTCCCCTCCCCCTCGTCGTTCGCTCGCGGCGCGCTGCAATTACGTGGCGAGTCAATGTGTTATCATAATTAGATAGGCCGGTAGAAAGTTCTCGCTACGTAATTGCCGGCGCGGCATACACTCGCGAATCTTTTATGCTGCAATCTTTATACGACGCGCGATCCGACGTGTGCAGAACAATCGCGAGGACCGAAGCCCCGCGTGTTTCGCGCCCCCGGAAATGTACGGATCTCACGCAGTGAGGCGAATCGACCGGGATTCTTCGAAGCCACGAAAATAAACGTGACGTTACTCACCCGAGTTATAGCGCTTCACGTGGCCGAGCGATGACGACAATATACACTCGCGCGTCAGTCGCGCGCATTGCTTCGGTCACCGTCAAAAAACCCGTCCGTCGAGATTTCGGTCATTGATCTTGTCAACGGCGGAAGAATAATTTCTGCAGGGACACCCACCCTCTCCGGGGGGAATTCATCACCCGACGCGCGCGCGCGACGCGTTTCGATTCCCTGCGCGCGATATACCGTTACTCGTAAAACACGTCGCTTAATCGCGCGCCTCACGTACAACACGTTATGCGAGTCCGCTACGCTATCATCTTCGTCAGATAGTAATATCGATGTAGCGACGGAAATCCACCCACTCACACAACACACCCGCCCGCAAACGTCGCGCTCACGCAAGCCTCGCGCAACACTCTAGAATCAGGCCGTTATCTCGCGGTTGATATAAATAGCCCTGTATTAGTCGCACTTCAGAAGTTCATATGCCGCTTATCCGCTACCGTAAAATTATACACAGGCTTATAATTTATGCGAAGTGTACTCCGGTTCTTGTCAGATCAATAATCAGGTCAGTTTCGGCCGCGAAAGAAATCGTATGCCTATTACATAAATTTTTGGTCTAATTCGCAGAAAACAAATGTATAAAGATAACACTCGTTATATTCGTAGCAACGAGACCGTTGGTTAGAAGTTAGAGAATTCGATGTAATATTGTGATAACGGTAAAGATATCGAAAAATAAAAATCCCTGTGTCTGCGCGGTCAATTCTTGTAGACACTCAGTTTAAGAAATAGCGCCGATATCGCGGCGGGTTAAAACGATGGTAATTAACCCCGGGAATATTGGACGGTGCCTGAACCAGACCATTATCGGCTATCGCACTGTCGAGCGAACCCCCTTGGGACCCGCCTTCCTCTATCGGTCTGAGAATTTATTCAAAGGGCCTCTCTCGGTCCTATCTGATCACCATTTGACTATCTCAACACAGGGAGATGGATGTAAGCAAGCACGCGCGGCGCGAGAGAGCCGCGGACAGACCCCGCGGTGAGCCCGAGATTGCGCAAATATTTATGACACGACTCTATCGGCGCGATTCTGTCACTTACGGAATTCATTAAATTCATTAAATACACTCACGTGCGGCGAATCCATTCGCATATAATCGCAATCCACTCATATAATCGCAATCTTAATTCACGCCTAAATATATCACACGCAAACATTTCACTTCTTAGTTATCTCGTGAATTGAAGGCATCGCTTATTACATTATAATATAATTACGGTTCTATTATCGTAAAAATAATTCAGTTTTGCATTTAATACAGTCTATATGCACAGTCCCCAGTCTGCTTAATTTTTATGTTAATTATTTAATTTGTGTATTTTTAAATTATTTAGTTTATTAACATATTCTCAAAACTATCGATATATTTGTATGTCGCTACATCTCGTATCCGCGAGGGAAAAGAACTTAAAATCTGAAGCACACTGTTTTACGGCGCGACAGCTTGAGACGTTTTAATCTCGCGCAAGGACTTCGACGACGGCGGGGAGTGTACCGGGACTGTGCACTCACTCTCTCTTTTTCTCTCTGCAGTTCTTTCTCTCCCTAAAGAGTCACGTCGCGCAAACGAGAGAACGAGGAAGTAAGAGAGGCGCGAGAGACGCGCGCACTCGTAATTTTTCATGCGGCACGTCGCACGCGTCCAGAGCTCTCTCACGCGGTTATCTCCGACACCGCAGTACGTCTCATTCGCACGTAGGACGTCCAACCTAACCCGGGGGTAAGTCCGCGTGTAAAAGCCGTTCCCTCCTCGTCCGGAGGAGCAGCGGAGGGTTGAAACGGAATGCGCGCTGTGCGGTAGCCGAAAGTTCGCGTGGGTCACGACGCGGACGCGCTGCGCCGCAGGTTACTCGCGCGCGATACGTCAGATATGGGAATACACGCGGCCGGTAATCCACGCTCGCTATTTCGGAAATGCCCGAAAATATTTATAAACATCGCGGTCGCGCTTATCTTAATTGCATTGGGGACCGGTGCTCGCGTGTGCCTGGGCTCCCCTATTCGCGGCGACCCGGATGTACCGGCCGGGGAATAGAAAACTTCTCGTCGCGGCGGCAAATCGCAAGCCCCCGCGGGGCCTTCCGAGGATGAATTAGCTCCCGGCGACGCGACAAGAACAGGGACAATCGTTTCCTCGCGCGTTGCCCCATGAATCTTCACCCGCCCCATCTCGTCGGCTCTCTGGCCTCTTTCGGTTAAATTCAATCTGCGAGCGAGGGATACAATACGGTCCACTCAGGGAAAATAAGATACCACGGCGTATACGAATGGATGTATACATTCGTAACGCGGTAAACAGCATGGGCAAGTTTGATGTGCAAGTTTGACTTTGGAATTTACTGTTTACCCCGCTGTCAGAGTAGCCGCTTTCGAGATATCTATTTTCGAACTGGGACAGTTCGGCTATCCCGGCGAAAAATACCAATAGTTAATCCCAGTTTTTGTTCAGTCTCCAGATAATGAATTAAGTATCATGGATAAAATTGAATTACGCCCATTGGAATATTTAAAGAATTTAAGCGAGCAAAATCGTCTTTCCCCGAAATAAATTCGCGGTTTCGCTTGTATAGGGTAATTAACGCGACGAGAGAGGTAACGATTATACCCGCGATTCCCCTACACGCCTTCTCCTCCTCCTCCTTCTTCTTCTCCTCGGCGTAGTCACGTCGCGTCTAGCGCAGGCAATTACGATAAGGCTTACGATTAGCTTGACAGCGAAGCGTCGAGTGGCGGCGGCGCGGCGCGGGCCTCGTGCAAATTGCAGATGAAGCAGTTATACATTCGGTAGTGCAGGAACAATTCACTGATTCTAGATAATGAAACAGCTTGTCATCAGGTATGCGCATAGTCATCTACGTGTGTAGCGAAGTTTCCGTCGTGTTCGTGGCGCACGCATACGAATATGCAAAGGCGCGAAATGCCGCGAATACGCCGCGGCGAATCGGTGTGCGGAGAAGTTTGTTGTCCCGTCGTCTAAGTTTCTAACGAAGGTGCGAGGCAAAAAATCGATCGAAGCCGCCGCCGTCAAACATACGGCGCGGCGCGTCGTGCGTATTCGATTGCGATTCGCACATCCCGTAGGCGCTTAATTTTCTACGGAGCAAATCAGATTAATTCAATTGAGATTAATTATCACGAGCAGGTCCATGCGGGCCTCGCTGATCCTCGATACGAGCGAGGCCAATTTGCGAGGAACGGCCAACGTGGCGAGGCGTCGCGTTTTCTCTCACGTTGTTATACGCTCGTCGCGATGCGCCGTGTAAAGCTCAAATGACCGAACGATAACTATCGGTAAACGCGATATGCAAATTAAATGAGATTGAAACGATATACATGTAGGACGTGGTAAAATGTAAAAAGATTTTTTAAAATTCGCAATAAAGCGATAAAATAAGAATAATATATGAATATCGTACTAGCGTCACTGAACAAGTAAGAAATTCACGATGTATATTGCAAATTATAGTGCGCGTATTAAAAAGAAAAAAATAACAGAACCACTCAATACTAATAGCTGTTTATTTATTTTTAAAATTATCATATGTTATCTTTAAAAAATAAGAAAAAATGATAGTTTTAATTAAAAAAGCGAAAAATCGCAAAAACATCAGTAAACAATGATTATCGATAAGTTTCAATTAATCGATGCGTACTAATAAGTAAATGTATATCGTATAAGTTTTTTTTTAATAGAAAAAAAACACATTTTTAACCAACAGATGTATTTAATTAACTAAATATATATATTTAGTTAATTAAATGTATCTTTTAGCACGTATATTCCACTTTGTTTATAAATTTCTGTTCTGAGTTACGGTTAAGGTACATATTTTCCTTTTTAATACTTAATATATACTTTAATACTTTATAATAATACCCTTTAATATATGAAAACTAATGTATAAAATACCCTTTAATATATACTTTAATACTTAATACTTAATATACTTAATTACATTTTCAAGTGAAAAATCATATTTTAATTAAATCTGTATGAAAATTAGATCTCAAAAATTAATTTACAATTTATTTTTAAGTCTTATTAATTTAATACTTCTCTTAAACAATAATTTACTGGTAATTGTTTAGTGACCCTATATCGCGCGATACTGTATTACCTTCTTGCGTTAAATTTGCGTCATATAAATATTATAACGTTAAATTTGCACAACTACGATACGAAATCTCTGCCGGTATTGATCGTTGCACAATGCGGTTATTATTAATGTTTGTAACAATACGTAAGCGAATCGGGGAGAGCATATAACG